TGTGTGTGTGTGTGTGTGTGTGTGTGTGTGTGTGTGTGTGTGTGTGTGTGTGTGTGTGTGTGTGCGCTGATGTTTACATACAACACAGTCATTGTTTTCCATGTTTGGTTATATACAATGTTCTTTTTTATGACTAATGGATGCTGCTGGCGGTTTGTGAATTGGACTGATGGCTTGACGGCTGGCCGGGCACGTATACAGATTGGAGTGCCGGAGGAGAGAATACAACGGATGGGAGCTGATGACAACTTTTGGGCAAGCGGTCCAACCGGTCCCTGCGGACCTTGTTCTGAGATGTACTACGATTTTCATCCAGAGCGGGGCACATCCGGTGCGGTACGGTACTTGAATTATTTTATCCTATCTTATCATTTGTCTAAAACACAGTGTCTTTTACCTTCTTCTTCTATCCCATCTTAGCCTCGGTGATATTGTCTCCTCCCGATCTTCACATATGCTCCGGAGGCGCGAAACGTGCTGTACTCGAGCAGACGCTTCGCGCCTTATCTAGTCTTCTCTCCTATCGCCGCCGGATCTTCGCAGTGGGACCCTATCCTACAACTGTTCTACCCTATGTTCTATCATTGCCCTTCTTCCTCGACGCCGGTTTCCTTTCAACCTCCACTCATGCTATCGCACCCTACACCTGCTCTGCCCTCCCTGACAGTACACCTGTTGCACCCTATAATACACCCGCCCTACCGTTCTCTACACTTGCCCCACCCCACTGTCGGCGGGTCCTACCTCACTGTACACCTGTCCTTCCCTACCGTACACCTGCCCTGCCCGGTGTTATAGCATTCGTATATACTGCGGTATAGATAGAAATTATAGAAGTTATAGGCTACCAGAGTGGCCCGGGGCCACTTGCCCGGCCGGGCCAAAAAACAATTTAAAAAATATATATATATATATTTTTAAATAAAATAAAAACTATTTTTTAATTTTATTTTTTATTTTAAATTTGGTAAAGATTTCGATGTGACTCTGAGGCAAAAGTTGCTCAGTTTATTTTTCTGCATAACATAGTTTTTTCGGGTTTTTTTTTTTTTTTATTTATTTAATGCTGGGACCTGGTTCTTGCACGGCCGGGCCGCCTGGCTGGTAGCCTAGTAGAAGTTAGTATTTACCGCGGTATATCTCAACTCTCGTTTTCGGTTTTCCTTCTTTAGCAAGGAGCTTTGAGGAGATCCTCAGGTAAAAGTTGTTTTGTATTGCAGTTTAGTAGTTTACAGCTTCACACAACTTCTCAATTTTTTTTTTTTTCTTCTTGTTTTAAGAAATTTTAGAAGATTTCTGTAATGTTTTGTGCGGGTACTACCTGGGACCCTAGCTTTTCTCGAATTTGGTTGAGGATTTCGAAATAACCCTACTGTCTTTATCCGAATAGAATGCCCGTTCACAATAGCTGCATCTGGGCTGAAAGTTGCCCTGAATACAGCTATAATGACCGGGCGTTCTATTTGGGTGAAGACGGTAGCAACATTGCACAACATAGACAGTAGCAACATTCCACAACATAGACGGTAGCAACATTGCACAACATACTTTTCTTCCAGGTGTTTTACTTTTTTATTTTGTCCGGAAAATTCAAAATTTGGGAAAATCCGCAAAAGCATATCTATTATTTTCAATACAGTCTCCGCCGGATTGCAATCAATCCGTGGAATCGCGTGGATAGCGATTGGAGGCTCGTTGCATGTTGACAGATCCCGTCACCTGTTGTGGGTTTTGTCGAAGTTTCAATTTGGAAAAATCAAAATGAGGAAGGGCATATGGGTGCACCTCTTGCTCTCTTGGCAGTTACTAACCCCCTTTTT